TTTTTTTTTTTTTTTTTTAAGTTTATTGATTTTGAGAGAGGGAGAGGAGAGCACATGCGAACAGGTGAAGGGCAGAGAGAGAGAGAGAGAGAGAAAATCCCAAGCAGGTTCCTCACTGTCAGTGCAGAGCCCAATGCAGGGCTTGAACTCACAAACCATGAGATCATGGCCTGAGACGAAATCAAGAGTCAGAAGCTCAACCTACTGAGCCACCCTGGTGCCCCCAGATTCACTGTCTAAGGGGATCTCAGCCCTGTTTCTCACCTTATGCTGTCAAAGTGGTTATTGCTGCCTCAGTTTCCCCAAAGGGATCACTCACTAAGAAGCTAAAGAAAAGATTTGGAGCTGCCTGAGACTACAGATGAGAAAAGTTTCAGTAGCCAGCTCTACTGCAAAGGGCCTTCTGAACCAGACAGTCCCCTCCCCACTCGCCACAAGCTCCTCAGCAGGCAGAACGGCCATTGGCCAAGACAGCTGACATTACTCTGTGCCCAGAGGGACACCCGCAGTACAGAAAGGAAACCTGCATCCACGTCATAGCTTGCCAGGGCACCCCAGCAGGCAGACCCCCTCGTAGGCCTGCCCCTGCCTGTATCTACACATATGACCCCTTAGGCTCTCAGGGTCTACATGCAGGATCTCCTGCTCAAGGGGAGGTAGCCACAGCTGCATATGGACAAACAACCATGTCTTATGTCTTATGTGAGAACAATGGGTGGCCCCTCTCTGGGAAAATCATGTAGACCCATGACCTGGTGGGAACTTAAAAATCCATTTGCAAACTGTAAAAACCAAGATCCGAAATTCCAGCTCAAATGTAGACAAAGCTTTGGGGTTTAGCCTGGACCGTACTTAGCCCCTGACCAAGATACAATTCACTGAGCCCACATTTGCACCTTGCACTGTTCTGTTCTGGGCACCAAGGAGTGACTATTCCTTATTGGAACAGCCAACCGCTGACCTAAAGGGCTAATAGCCAATGGGTTCTGGGGACCAGGATTCTGTCCTCACTCCCTGAGGCTCTGGATTGCCCAAGATGGCTGACTCCTCCACCCTCAATCTCAGTTTTCCACCTCATGGAATGGAGTGGCCCAAGGTAACTGACCGTTGTCTGCTCTTTCCACTAAAGCTATGGCTACAGAGGTTCCATGGTGACTGGCACCACAGGAATGAAGAAAGGTGGCAGAAGGGACTCAGGTTTCAAGTGGAAAGGAAACGAAGCAAAGACTGGCCCAGTAAAGAATGTCAGCCCCAGGGACAAAATCCCAATCACCCCTGTGCTTTGCACAGCCTGCAGGGAGCCCATGCCCCATTCCACGTCCACTTTGCTCCCAAGGGAGCTGGGCAGAGCCGGGCTAAGTAAGAGCACTTACTTAGACAGGAGGGCAAGGCAGAGGCTCTGAGGAGGGGTCAGAGCAGAGAGGCCCGGGAGGGGATGGGCCCCCGATCCTAAGATGCAGCCCCTCCTGCCCCCTCTTCCAGGGGCTACTGCACGAGCAGCTTCCTTCGTGTGGCTGTGACACTACCCATTCCTGCTTTTAGAGACCTCTGAGAGGCACGGGTTCTGATAAGTCAGAGTTCTCACCTCCTCAGACATGCTGGGTGGGAACAGTGGTGTCAAATGTCACGGTGGGTAGAGAAAGGGAGTAAGGGAAAGACGGCAGAGCGAACAAACCTAGGTTTGGAACCCCAAATTGTCCCCCACCGAAACATTCTCTCTCTGCAGAGAGGCCTCAGACAGGCACCCCTCCCAGCCCACACCCCTACCCAGTATGCTCCTGAAAGCCCACGTTGGGACACCTAGATCTTTGGCCTTGAGGCAAGACACAGCTGGGTTAACTTGGTAACTGACCCTTGCCCCTCTCATATTAACTTGGAAAAGTTCCCTAATTCCTCTGAGCTTTGGTTTCTTCATCTGAAAAACCGTCCTACCAAAAGGTTCTGTCAGGATTAAGGGAAGTCATGTGCAAAAGTAATTCAGCACCATTGCTGGTAGATGGTCAGTAGCATCAGGTGTGACCTCTTCCTTTCCCTTCCCCTGCCCATAAGCTCTCTTTAAAGTTATGACGGGGGTGACTGGGTGGCTCAGTAGGTTAAGCGTTCAACTTCGGCTCAGGTCATGATCTCACCGTTCGTAAGTTCGAGCCCCGTGTCGCACTCTGTGCTGACAGCTCAGAGCCTAGAGCGTGCTTCAGATTCTGTCTCCCTCTCTTTCTCTACCCACCCCCCAACTCACATTCTCTCTCAAAAAAAGAAATAAATATTAAAAAAAATGTTTTAATATATTTATGATGGGTCAGCCCTCTGTCCTTACAAGACAGACCCAGGTGACGTGTGTGCCCCTCAGGTGGAGGAGACACACGTGTCCATGGAGGCAGCGGCTCCAACTAGCCTGGCCGGGCCCTCCCGCCGTTCTCACCTGGGATGCTGTGCTGTGAATTCGCACCCACCACGACGCCAGGGGTGGGTCCCGGGCAGAGATGGGCACATGGGAGACCAGCAGTGCTGTCTGACTAGGCGCCTGGACACCCTCCACAGGAAAGCTGCATCCTTGTCGGGCCTGGAAGGAGGCAGGGTTCAGACGCGGAGGGAAAAGGCCTCCCAGGCCGAGAAGACAGTCTGAGCCGAAACATGGAGGAACGGACTGTGAGTGTGGGATTTGGCAGGAGGGCCCGGGGCTGGGAAGGCAGATGAGGGCCGATATGTGGGGACCTGCAGCATTCTGTCAGAGTCAGGGCGTGCTCTGCCGGTAAAGGGAACTCTAAAGACTTTTAGGAGAGGGGCGCCTGGGTGGCTCAGTCGGTTAAGCGTCCAACTTTGGCTCAGGTCACGATCTCATAGTTCGTGAGTTCGAGCCCCACGCCAGGCTCTGTGCTGACCGCTCAGAGCCTGGAGCCTGCTTCACATTCTGTGTCTCCCTCTCTCTCTGCCCCTTCCCTGCTCATGCTGTGTCTCTCTCTGTCTCAAAAAATAAAATAAACATTTTTTTTTAAAAA